CAGATTGGCTTTCTTCTTTGCAGCATGGGCCAGTAAGTAGTCTACTCTGAGCAGAGATGGCAGAGATGGCTGACAGAAGTTCCCTTGAACAGCCTTAGCGAAAGACCAGAATGCACGTGTTCCCGAAGGTAAGCAAACTAGTTTCTCGCTAATTCTGCTTATGTAGTCCCGGTAGCACTCCTGCTAATATCGTGATGTAATTTTACAGGGGCGACCAAACCATGGCAGAGTTCTGCCTCCGATAGGCACCACAGATAATGGAATTAATAATTCCATTCCCTGAAGTACCAAATCAGCGACAGAATCAAGAACATCGTTGGGATCATCCGGCGAGAACCAATAAAAAAGCAAACCAAGGGTAGGATACAAAAAAAGACCGCATCCCATCCCAATCAGCTGACCTATAATGCCAAACACCTGAGTGGCAGCATACTCCGGACTAGACAATGGTCCGAAGAGTCAAGAAGGGCATCGACGGAGACCTAATATCCGTCCGGATGAGAGGTTATCATTAGGTCACAGGGAAGGTACATGATCCTCCACATCTGGGATCTGCGTATGTTTAGTAACCAGCTGTGTTAGACCATATGCCGAAGCAAAACCATAAACAGATCTACCCGCATGATCGGTTAAACGCGAACCAAGCCATTCAGCGTGGTGGGTGTTAAAATCAACGAGCATCACGATCTCTGTGGAGGGGATCTGTTGTAGCACGGAGTCTGCAGCTATTTTGTGGTCGATGAGTCGCTTTGTGGCAACATTACCGCTATGGAACCTACAGAGGCACCCGTAGACGCGAGAATGGTCTTTGCTGTCTACGTGCAGCCATAGGATGGACAGGTTCGTACCTTCAAGACTGCTGGGGCACCGAAAACAGATATCCTCTCTGACGTACACGGAAACTCTAGCCCGGGGTTCAAAGGAGTGTTCTAATTTATATCCCCCCCCCCCAGAATACGCGAAGCAGCCTGACCACCCACGCTCAGAAAAAGTAGGTTAGCTTGGGCGTGAATGCTCAGCAAGGGATTCCCAGTCACTAGGGGTGCTGGTACCCCCTAGTGGAAATTGGAGAGGGGAATTGGGCCTCCAGCTACCTGCACTCACCAGGCTAAATACAGAAGTAAACTTCTACTTCACGTTCGTATTCTGTGAGGTTGTTATACCACCCCGGTTCGAGCTGGCCCATCCGTGCGACAGCAGCTGCCGCGTGGCTCTACCCCAGTTCAACAGTCACAGTTCACACTTCACAGTGAAAAACATGTTTTGCAAACAACAGTGTTCTCAGATACTATTCAAAATTAACATAATTTTTTTTTCGCTGCCACGAATAGTACAGATTTGGCTAGGAATTGTTTTAAAACCAAAAGGCTTGCCTAATAAAGGTCTTGTCGACGTCATAATGAACACCGTACCAGTTGACGCACGATAACTACCGCGACCCGCACCACTCGGCGCAATATTTTATTTTTTATTTTAATGATTATTAAAATATATTTTCATTAATTTGCCTACATACAACCATTAAATAACAGCAATCCCTGTCCCAAGTTATTATATTTTATCAAGATAATTAAAGACTACAATCCTAATAGACAGTAGCTATTAGGATTTTAGTTTTCATTTCAATTATTTTTATATTAATGGCAATATGGTGTACAGATAATTTGTGATAGAGCTTGCCACAAACTAATAAGAAGATGGAGCTTGCTTATTTCGGGAAAAAAGTAAGTGTTGGTTAGAGAAACTCCGTAGCAAATTATGGATAACTTTATTGCAGACATTTTGTTGTTTATTTACAATATTATAAAATATGAGCATGTTGTAACATAGCCTCATAGGTAATACACAGCAGCGACCCCGACACATTGCAGCGGCACGAGGCGCAACTCAGCAGAACGTGAGTATTGACATCAACGGATGCAATCGTAGCTCTGCAATACACTTTTACTTTGTTTTTACTGTAATAATTAAAATCAATTCTAGATCTAGCATCCATCTGATTCACTTTTATTTTATTTGTAGTAATTATGTTGTAATTTTTATATTATAATAAAGTATTATAAATTACTTTCGGTTTTTTTGGGTCTTTCGGCTGCAGTTAACGTAATTCGCACAGTCGGTAGGATACTCAAAACTTAGTTAGGCTATCGTAGATTTCAAACGAGTGTTGCATGCCTTAAGCGCAAAGCGCGTAGGTATGTTTTACTAGCGCCTAAAATCAATATTCCAACATTTTGTTGCATAAAATCGTATCTAACAATCATATTGAACATATAAATGATATAAAAAGCACATTGTCAGAAAGATAAATAATGATTGTTGAACTTATTAATATTTTTTTTAATCGATTAATTGCTATTTTTACAAAAAAAGTGGTTTTAGTGGTGGTTTTATTTATCAAGTACGCATGAAGAGGTAAACACGATAAATTTTGAAAATATTAATTGTTTAACTCAATCTATTTTTCAATATCTTCATTTATCATGTTTATCAAGCAGTTTAATTTTGTTTTGTTTCGTTATAATTAATTTTTTTCGGCTGCAAAATGTCGAAATTTTCGGTGATTTAGCAGCCATTTATTAATTTATTTTACTAAATAGACTGCTTCACTCACCCACTTCGACGTCAATCGCCGTCGTGAGTGAATATTCTATCGGTTGTTTGCAGCGGCTCGAAACGATCGCTGTACAAATACAAAATATTCGAAAAATTTAATTTCATATATTATACTTGATTATTATAATAATCAGAGATTTTTATTACAATAGTTTTAAAAGCATAGAACAAATAATAGTAGTACGTACTAAAAGTACTACTTACTTTTAGACGTATATTGCATGCCTTAAGCGCAAAGCGCGCAGGTATCTTCTGCTTGGGTTAAATTATACTTAAATATTTCTTGGACTTTATGGAGTGACCTGAATGATGATATGATGATCATATGAGCAATATGAGTCGTGCACTTATGGATTTTCTAAACTTTTTGTTAAATGGATGTTTAACATAAAATTATTAGAAAATTGGAAGTATTAAGGTTGTAAGTGAAAACTTGTGTGTATTTAAACTACTTTAAAAAAAATTCCGTATAATCATGTTATACGTAATGTTTTTAATGCATGCACAATTGGATTTACCATTAGTTTTCGAATCTGTTACGGACCAACTGCAAGCCAAGAAGATACAAGACATCGATCCCGCGAAAACTGAGATAAAATTTATGTAAGTACGCCAGAATTTTATCTAGTGTTGCTTCCTTTTTCCTAGTGTAAATCTTTTCTGTCAAAAATTTCCATCCAATGAAATCATCCCATTGTGACACTAAATCGCAGCCACATAGACAAAGTTTAGACTACAATGGAGATTTAAGTTGTTATTTAGAGTTAGATATAATTACCGAGGAATCAAAAATGGCCCACAACTCTGACACTATTTTCAAAGTTTTACGCTCAGTTCCAGAGTTCGACGGTAACCCTAATGTACTAACTAGATTTATAAAATTATGTGACCAAATAAGTGCTGCATACCTAAGTAATGATCCTGGTAGTGAACTGTTGAACTTATGCTTGCTTAACGGGATATTAAACAAAATACCTGGACACCCCGCGACCTTTTTAAATGCAAATGGTATTCCTGAAAGCTGGCATGGCAATCATACAGCTTTAATCAATAACTTTTCGGATCAAAGAGATGAAACTGCGCTCTACAATGAGCGCTCGTTAGCTACTAAAGCAAACAGCTCTCCTCAAGAATTTTATGCACGATGACAGACACTTTTCAGCACTATCATCACGTTTGTTACGCTTCATGAAACATTGCCTACTACAATAGAAGCCAAACGTAAATTATATAAAAATCTAATGAAGCAAGCTTTCGTACGCAGTTTAAAGGAGCCACTTGGCTCACGAATACGTTGCATGCATCCTGATACTGTTGAAAAAGCCTTGGAGTTTATACACGAAGAACTGAATGTTATTTACTTGCAACAACGCAGTTAATCTTTCGCTGAGAGGAAACCTCAAGCAGCTAAGTCTCTCCAACCTAGACATATGATCTTACCTTTGCAAAAACCATTCAGTTTTGCTGCACCGATACTAATGTCCAACTTACAGCGACCTTTACATGTACCACAACAACAACCTACAATAGATAACGTGCCACCACAATATAACATGCCTACGCGAACTCAACAAATGTTCCGCGCTTTGCCACCTAATTATACACCCCATAGTAATACGCTTAGATGATCAAATCCCTCATCCTATAAAAAGAATAGAAATCCACCCCATGACTCATGTCCGAAGCGTATGAGTGGCGTTAGCCATTACGTACCTAAAACAATGCCTCCGACAGGTCTCATCGGTCACGATTGGCGCAAATACGGTAAACCGCCGCCTTTAAATTACTTCAAAAGTAGGGAAATAAGTTTTAACGATTATGCAGATTACGATAGTTACTATTAACGCCAATACGACAATTACGAATATAATGATAATGACGACTACACCAATACTGTGACCTATGATTATCACGACACACAGCATTACCAATACTATGACGCAACTGTCATAAACAAATAAGATAACGTAGACTGTCAACCTTCGCAAAGCAGTTCGACTCAGGGTTTTGAAGTCTCGTTCTTCAAAAAAGCCGAAGTAGAAGCAAACTTACATACACCGAGACAGCTTTCATATATATATGTGTGTGTATGTGTGTGTGTGTGTGTGTGTGTGTGTGTGTGTGTGTGTGTGTTTCTCACCCCCCCCCCCTTAAAATTTCATGAATACAGAATCAGTAATCGGAAACACTACTCAAAACATATAATTTATAAAACACTTATGAGGTTTCTGTGGGCTATACCTTTTCAGCAGAACTCAATTGCATTCAAGTGCATTCAGCTTTAAATTCTTCTATTTTCACAGTAACGTTAGCTTTTCAGTCTTTCGACGTTTTAGTTTGAAAAACGTATCTGGAATGTTTGAAATAGACAAGGCCGGCTTTACTTATACTTCAAAGTTGGAGTTACGGTCATCATTATTGAAGGTGTCTACTAGCGTGTCTATGTCAAATTCAGCTCCAAAAGATTCTTCAATCGACTCTTCAAAATCTGGTTTAAAGTCAGAATCGGCCAAACTATCGTCATCTAAGTCGAGTATATCTTCACTTGAATCACCATGGAGTGCGCAGGCGATTTCGTTTTCATCTAGGTGGATTTGGCGAGCTATCCTAAAACAAAATAATAACGAGTGTAAATATTCGCAGTGTTCGTACAAGATAAAACCGCTTTCTCCATAATGTAGCCTACAAGACACAAACATTCATTGTCGCCTAACACATAAAAAAAACTATGAAATATCAACAAAAATATAATAATATGGTAAACTTTAAACACTTACCTTACAAATTATCAAGAAAACAAACACCAAGAACAAAATAACCATTTTTTTATATTTTTTTATTTTATAACCTGCTCCGACCATTTGAAATGTTTTACTTCACTAACGAAATTTCGTTGTTTGAGGCAAGTAACGACATCTAGTTTCACTTTCTTGTACTAAATTGAAAGAAGAGAGTGTAGACATGACATTGCTTGACAAAACGATTTAATTTTACTTAGAGAATTTAGGAAAGGTGATGTGGTATGTTACCTGTAGTCTACCATACGTTACAGAGGGTCAATTGATTTATTAGTTTATGTCAAATCTTTTGTTTCTTTGTTTTTTATGTTTTTAGTATGGAAAGTTTACTTCAAGTTAATAGTATTTATTGATAGATGAATTTTATAATTTAATTTATTTTATTGTAAAATATCAGGGCTATAGGCTTCTACACCCTTTTTCCAGGCGGTAAAAAAAGTCATCCAGTATAAATACTATTTCCAAGAAGTATCTCCTATTTAATGACCTTACGGGCGTTACTTAAATAACCACCCAGACATTATAGCGAGTTTTAAGTTAATTTAAGTCGGAAATCAAACTCCGATCTTAGCTAACATAAACTAAGAACGTACTATTACGTTAAGAAAAAGAGAAGTTTGGAATTATACATATGTACCTACTTCGAAATCTCGATAAGTACATGCCTACAAAAATATTGGTTAAACATATTTCTAAGCGATGTTACGTCATGGTTGAGAAGGGATCGATGTTGAGAGTGTTACATCAGCTAAATTAAGTTATATGTTCTTCACTTTGTCCCGGCGGTTTTTTTGCTTGAGGGGACTTTGAGGAAAATTGTGTACTTAATTGAACGAGGGCCGTTACATTATAATAATTACGGAGGGCTTAGCAAGCATAATTAATATCCTATTAAATTGGATGGACGTAAAACATTGAAATATCTATTTCAATTTTAGACAGTGAAAATAACTTTTGTACATATGTATTCAATCAACGTAGATCTTTTAATTTTTCATGGATAACATGCGTCTCGTTGCTACGAGTTTATGTCTACTTGATATTCACTTATTATTACAGAAAATATCTATTTCGGAGGTGTGGGGCGGTTTCCCACCAGATGGAGTGACGAACTGGCAAGATGTGCAGGAAATCAATGGATGCAAATGACTCAGGACCGTGCTTTGTTGCATTCCTTTGTGAAGGCCTATGTTCAGCAGTGGACTTGTGAGAGAGGGGCTGTAATTATGATTAAGGTGATGAAATATTTATTTTCATTCATATTTAAAGAAATAAGTTTTATATAAAATTGATAATTATTTAGAACTTATTTCTAGAACCCCATATGATTCTCGAAATTAGTTTTCTTCTACTCTCCTTGATAAAATTCTATAAAAATAGTGGATTCGTTACTCCAATCCATGTTTGTGTTTGAAAATTCACGGGTTAAGCGAATAACGACTGATACGAAAACACACAAGCATTCCTTTTACTCGTGCCAAAAAACCGACATCGAGAGAAGTACGTGGATACGTGGTAGAGCCATGCTGCAGCTATATTAGTAGTATAGTTGTAGCAGGAATGGGTCGGCTCGACCGGGGAAGGACCACGCTCTCACATAATACCAGCGTAAAAAGCTGCCGTGTTTCGTATGGTGAGTGTAGAGAACCGCAGATCCCTTTTACTGGAAAAGAGACAATCAATCTTGGTCCTAATGGGTGATAACGCATCTGAATTTTGTGAATGTATGGACCACAGCAACCACTTACCATCAGATGGACTGTGTGCTCGTTTGTCACTCTATCCTATAAAAAAAGAGTACAGGTGAATACTCGGGCCGAGTAGCGAGAACACCCGAACAAGGCGCTCACATACTCATACTCGTGTCTACTGGTCTGCGCTCGGCAAATATCTAAACGTTGCATAAACAAAAACGTGTCGCATATTAATGACAGCAGCGATGGTCTGCGCGGGGAGTCTTATACTCCCCTGTACTTAGCACTCTCCAGATTTATATATTGAATTGCATCCTAAACACTCATCGACATTTACCTTATATACGTCATCATACACCAAAACGTAGGAGCACTAAAATTTGCCATATACCACAAAATAAAACAAAATTTAAGCAAAAACAATACGCATTCCAATCTATATCTCTTTACAATAAATTTAACAGCAGATTGCATATTAACCCCCTGACGTGGACTAAAGTCAAACGTGTAGTAACACAATTATTATTAACACTAAACTACGAGGAAACTGAACAATTTATTACTTAATTTTTATACTTGGAACAGCCTCACCAATTGTTAAAGCACTGCTCACATACCCGCAACACACACACACACACATACACACACACACACACACACACACACACACACACACACACACACACACACACACACTTATTATATTATAAATTACATTACATTACCTAATGCTAGCGCATGCCTTGCCTTTTGTTATTTATTGATTAATATTTTATGGTCTTGGTGGATGAGCGGGGTACCCAGTAACACAGGTAACCAACCTAGTACAGGGACCCTTGCGACTGCTTTAAATTGTATCATTGTAAATCAATAAATCATTTTCAATAAAAATATAAAGGTACTTCAACAAAGATAACAAGTATGCGTTAGATATTCGTTCTGCAACTGTGGTAAAATCCCCCGAATACAATCTATGGGGGCGGCCTAAGTTTAGCGGTGGGACTTTCATAGATTGTGTATTGTGTTCAAGTATGGATAGATATCTTTGCCGCTCTGAACACTTTTAATTTTCTACTTTATTTTTTTATTTTTTTTAACTATTTATAAATTTTGAATGCACCAAGGCTGTAATTTCGGCGTTATAAAATCGAGATTGCACGAAACGCGTAAGCGCCATGTAATTCCTGGTGATTACCACAATTTGGTGGCGTGAAAACTATACCCTATATACTGTCTAGTGCTTCATGTTTTAATAGTTTGAACTAATTTTAGCACTGCAAACACCTCAGAGTTATGGAGAGGTAGAGCCATGCTGCAGCTATATTAATAGTATAGTTGTAGTACAAATGGGTCGGCTCGACCGGGGAAGGACCATGATCTCACAGAATACCAGCATAAAATAGCAGCTTAAGGCTGCTGTGTTTCGTATGGTGAGTGTAGAGAACCGGAGACCCTTTTTACTGGACAAGAGGCATTCCATCTTAGCCCTCACGGGTGACAACGCATCTGCATTTTGATTCTTTATTGAGGATAGATGTAGGTATCTATGGTTCACAGCAACTGCTTTGTTTGTCACCCTATCCTATAAAAAAATATTCTTACGCCGCCCTTACACAGCGTACAGTGCGTTAATTTGTTTGTTAATTTGTATTTATTCGGAACAAAATTAAATCTTTATCTCTTTCTTTCTACTAATAATTTATCGATTACGAGTTTCAACAAAGGTACATTTCTTACCCGTAGTTTTAATGTGGGAAAGTCAAAAAGGGACGTTCTAGACGAAATTGGCAATATACTAAAGATAAGAACAATTAAAAGTACCCAAACACGGTCATTTATGCGGAGAAATATGGATGTGAAAGAAGCGATGGATATAGAGTGTTTACAATAAAATTAATAAAATTTCGTCTTTTATACCTATAAAATCACACTATCAACATCACTACAGTCCATCACAAGTCTACTGCTGAACATAGAACTGTCCATAAACTGCCACAAAGTACGGTCCTGAGCCACCTGCAATCATCGATTACCTGCGTGTTTCATCGGGTCGTCAATCCATCTAGTGGAAAATCGCCCAACACTTGCAGCACTAAGGTTCTAGACTGCTACCCGAGAACTTTTCTTCTCTATTGAAACAGAAACAGAAACATAAACTTTTTTATTCAATATAGATTATAAATAATACTTATTGAAAGTCACTCTTTTGTTTAATTACCACTGGTTCGAAAAAAAAAACCTCTGTCCTGGGAAGAACCAGCAAGAAACCCAGCGGGCCTTTTTTTTAAATAACAGCTTACAATCATGTTCCTATAAAAAAAAATGTTACGGTTTTTAGTTCTTCAATATATGACCGGACTATTTCCAATTCAGCTTACTGATTGAGTGGGCTATGTCAGTTACTTTTGTTTTTTGTTGATTACACCAAAAATTCACAGTAATTAGTTTAGCATATTCGTGCGAGCCTACAAAATGCATGACCTAATATGAATATAATGGACGTGGAACTATAATACTTATATAGTTCGTAGTAATAAGGCCTTTAAATAGAACATGCGGTTGCTCCAATGGAAATTAATGATATTTAACCACAGCTTTATGTTAGAGCAAACTAGCTAATATGAAGGTTTTATGTCTACTCACGGAGACATCATTATTTTTAATTATGCATTAGAATTTGGAAGGTAGACTATGTTTTATTTATTTTATTTTATTTTATTCGGAAAACTTACAGCAATTGCTTAGTATTAAATAAAAAATATAATAATATTATACTATTAAGCCATTTACATGTTTCCATTTTTAGAAATAAAAACAAAAGCTAGTTCAAAGATAAATAAACTAGTAAACAAAAGGTACTTCAAAGTTAAAAACCTATATATATATATATATATATATATATATATATATATATATATATATATATATATATATATATTATGAATATTTTAAGAACTAATACAGACTAATACAGATAATACAGACTAATACAGATTTTAAGCAAAATATTCACTGGTTACTCTTAGCCACACTCGTGGAAGTATTAAATAGATCTATATCAAAGATACTCGTAAGAATAGAATAAGTTGGAATTTTTTTAGTTTGGAAGTTGTTACACAGGGTCTGTTTTTTTCGTCCTTGAAGTCCTTATTAGTTAAAATTTACTGTTTATATTGATGTGTAACCTTGTTTTACCTTGTGTTACCTTGTACGTGGTAGCGCCATGCTGCAGCTATATTAGTAGTATAGCTGTAGCACGAATGGGTCGGTTCGACCGGAGAAGGACCACGCTCTCACAGAATACCAGCGTAAAATGGCAACAGACACTGCTGTGTTTCGTATGGTTTCGTTTACAATAAAATTAATAAAATTTCGTCTTTTATACCCATAAAATCACACTATCAATATCACTACAGTTCATCACAAGTCTACTGCTGAACATAGAACTCCCCATAAACTGCCACAAAGTACGGTCCTGAGCCACCTGCAACCATCGAATACCTGCTTTTTTCATCGGGTTGTCAATCCATCTAGTGGATAATCGCCCAACACTTGCAGCAGTAAGGTTCTAGACTGCCACCCGAGAACTTTACTTCTCTATCGAAACAGAAACAGAAACATAAACTTTTTTATTCAATGTAGATTATAAATAATACTTATTGAAAGTCACTCTTTTGTTTAATTACCACTGGTTCGAAAAAAAAACCTCTGTTCTGGGAAGAACCAGCAAGAAACCCTGCGGGCCTTTTTTTTAAATAACAGCTTACAATCATGTTCCTATAAAAAAAAAATGTTACGGTTCTAAGTTCTTCAATATATGACCGGACTATTTCCAATTCAGCTTACTGATTGAGTGGGTTACGTCAGTTACTTTTGTTTTTTGTTATTTTACACCAAAAATACACAATAATTAGTTTAGCATATTCGTGCGAGCCTGCAAATTGCATGACCTAATATGAATATAATGGACGTGGAACTATAATACTTATATAGTTCGTAGTAATAAGGCCTTTAAATAGAACATGCGGTTGCTCCAATGGAAATTAATGATATTTAACCACAGCTTTATGTTAGAGCAAACTAGCTAAATTGAAGGTTTTATGTCTCAAGGAGACATCATTATTTTTAGTTATGAATTAGAACTTGGAAGCTAGACTATGTTTTATTTACTTTATTTTAATTTATTCGGAAAACTTACAGCAATTGCTTAGTATTAAATAAAAAATAGAATATTATTAAACTATTAAGCCATTTACATGTTTCCATTTTTAGAAATAAAAACAAAAGCTAGTTCAAAGATAAATAAACTAGTTAACAAAAGGTACCTTAAAGTTAAAAACTTATATGTATTATAAATATTTTAAGAACTAATTCAGACTAATACAGATAATACAGACTAATACAGATTTTAAGCAAAATATTCACTGGTTACTCTAAGCCACACTCGTGGAAGTATTAAATAGATCAATATTCAAGATAAGAATATATATAATAAGTTGGTTTTTTTTTAGTTTGGAAGTTGTTACACAGGGTCTGTTTTTTTCGTCCTTGAAGTCCTTATTAGTTAAAATTTACTGTTTATATTGATGTGTAACCTTGTTTTACCTTGTGTTACCTTGTACGTGGTAGCGCCATGGTGCAGCTATATTAGTAGTATAGCTGTAGCACAAATGAGTCGGCTCGACCGGAGAAGGACCACGCTCTCACAGAATACCAGCGTAAAATGGCAGCAGACACTGCTGTGTTTCGTATGGTGAGTGTAGAGCACCCGAGACCCATTTTACTGCAAAAGAAGCATTCTATTTTAGTCTTCACGGGTGCCGGCGCATCTGCATTTTGATTCTTTATTGAGGGTAAATGTAGATGTCTATGGGTCGCAGCAACCACTTACCATCAGGCGGACTGTGTGCTCGTTTGTCACCCTATCCTATAAAAAAATGTGAACTTATTTATTGGTTTTTCTTCTCAAGTTAGCGATCTTTTTATTTGTGTTTTTTTTTTATTTAATCGTCTGTTGTTTTTTTGTAAAATTAAGAATCAAGTTTTCATCTATATTTTAAGAATGGTCTCTGAAGCGTAATAATATTAAATAATTATAGCCTCAAAATTCCTTCCTTGATCACTGTGAATCTGTAAATGTACTCCAAAACGACAGAAGACTTCATGTCATCTATGTTTATCTGCAAATGTTGAAGCTTCTTGATTTAAAATGGCGAAGAAGTCTGGCCATTTATTGAAGTAATCCATCACAACCATAAAATAGTTGTTACCACTTTCACTTTCAGCAAACGGCCCTGCAACGTCAAGGGCTATCCTCTTCCGTGGTGCACTAACATTGTACAATCTCAGTGCACCTCTAATACGAGCCTGAGTTCCCTTTACAGCTG